AGGCCCCTGGGCTCCAAAGGCTAGTCATTTCAAAGAGATACTTACCCTGCCCAGCCCTGCCTGGGGGCTGGCTAGCCTGTGGAGGTGAATCAGGTGTCACCATCTCCTTGAGATTCATGCCCTCCAGAGCCACATGGTCACGGTCAAAATAGAAGGCCAGACAGAGGTAGGAGTGGGTGGCCCTCAGATGCAGGTTGGCCAGGTGGTTGACAGCAGCCTCCACCTCAGTAAAATAATTCTGACACTGGAGAGTGGTCAGAAGCTAGATAAAGGGGCATCCATTGTCTCTGGGTATGTTTTGTCTAAACACTGTTGAAGCAAGAAACAGAATGAGGACTGCCGAGGGTACTGTGACAGAAGTGTGTATTAATGTGAACAGAACTTACATCCTTCCAATACTGAGTCATCTGACCCATAATAATATTGTGTACTTTCATTTATTTGGTTCTTTTTCATTTATTTTCCTCAATGATATTTTGTAGTTTTCGGTAGATCTTGCAAAATTTTAATTAGATTTATTTCTAGGTGTGTGAGTTTGTGGGTGCTATTAAACATGTTTTATTTTCCATTTGTTTATTGCCAGTATAGCCAAACATAGTCAACTCAGGTTGCTATAGCAAAATACCATAAACTGGGTGGCTTATAAACAACAGAAATGTATGTCTCACAGCTCTGGAATCTGGGAAGTCCAAGATCAGGGTTTGGCAGATTTGGTATCTGATGAGTACCCCTTCTTCATTCACAGAGGCTTTTTTTGTAAGAGCAGTAATCCCACTCATGAAAGCTCCACCCTCAAGAACTAATCATCACCCAAAGACTGCCTTTCCTAATATCACACTGGGGGGTTGGATTTCAAAATAAGAATTTTGGATGGCATACTTCAATCTATGCAAATAATTTTAGTACATTAACTTTATATCCAGTGTTCTTCCTACATTCTCTTATTCTACAAATTTGCTTATAGATTCTTTGGAAATTTTTGATGTTCACAGTCTTATTGTCTAGAAATGATAGGGTTTTTCTTTCTTTCTTTCTTTTTAATATCTATAACCGTTATTTCTTTCTCTTGCCTTTTGCACTGCCTAGAACTCCAGTTACAACGTTGAATAGAAGTGGTTGCAGGGTCTTTTCTTGACTCAGTCCCAATATGATGTGGACGTTTTCAGTATTCTACCGTTAAAGATGATGTTTGCTGTGGGTATTCTGTAGATATTCTTTGTCACATTAAGGAAGTTCTAGTCTTGGTTAAAAGTTTTCATCTCAAATGAATGTTGAATTAATGAAATACTTTTCTGCATTTAAGATGATCATGTGGTTTAACTCCTGTGAATGGATAAACAGAGTTGATGATTTTTTAATGTTAAACCACATTGCACACCTATATTAAACTGAACTCAGTTTACTGTATCACTAGATTTGATTGCCCATGTATTTTGTTAATAATGTTTTAATAAGATTTATGAGAAAGGTGGGTTTTCTATTTTCTTTCTCAGAATGCTTGTCAGATTTTTAAGGCCAAGTTTATGCTGCTTTCATTTTTTGAAATGTCTGGAAAGCTTTGCTTCTTGGAGAATTATACATGACAGGTGGTAATTTTTCCTTCAGTGTTTGAAAAAATTCACTGTTAAGTTCAGTGGGTTTGGGCTTTTCTTTGGGGACAGATTTTAAAATAATATGTTCAATTTTTTAATACATACAGACTTATTAATATTTTATTTTTCTTCTATCAGCTTTGGTAAGTTGTTTTATTTCATTCAAATTGCAAATTTATCTATATAACATTATTTTTAGAATACTTTAATTGTACAATCTATGGTGATACTCTCTCTTCCATTGCTTTTATTGCTAATTTGTGTTTTTATCAGTCTCTAGGGTTTTATCAATTATGTTAATCTTTTCAAAGATACAACTTTTGAACTTATTTATTTATGTAGATTTTATTGCTGCTCTTTTTCTACCTTCTTGAGATCAATACTTAATTACTGATTTTTTAAACTTTTTTATTTTCTAATAAATGCATTTGAGACTATATATTTCAAAAAAGGGACTGTATTTCCTTCCAAGCATTATTTTAATTTTTTCTCATAAGCTTTAAAATGTATTTTTTTAATTATTCATTTTAAAATATGTTCTACTTTTCTTTTTTTTATCCCATGGAATATTTGAATTGTATTGTTTAATTTTTAAGCATTGGGGTTTTTGGGTTTTTTTCCCCCTAGATTTTTTTTTTTTAAATATATTTTATTGATTTTCTTACAGAGAGGAAGGGAGAAAGATAGCTAGAAACAGGATGAGAGAGAAACATCGACCAGCTGCCTCTTGTACACCCCCTATCGGGGATGTGCCCGCAACCAATGTACATGCCGCTGGCTAGTATCGAACCTGGGACCTTTCAGTCCACAGACCGACACTCTACTTCTGAGCCAAACCGGTTTCGGCCCTAGATTTGTTATTGATCTCTAGCTTAATTCCAAGGTGGTCAGAGAAGATATTCTGAAATATTTCAGTATTTTGAAATTGTTGAGACTTTCTGTATTACAATATATTAATTTTAATAAATGTTCACGAAAAGAATGAGAGTTGGTCATTAGCCAGTGCTATTTTATATGCATGGCAATTAGATTAGATCTATTCATTGTACTTTTAATATCTTCTGTATCCTTACTGATTAATTTTTAATTTTTGACTTGTCCTACCAGCTATTGAGAAAGATATGCTAATGACTTCCACTGTGATTGCTAATTTGTACAATTCTTCTTTTTGCTCTGTCCATTTTTTGTCTAGTATATTTTGAAGCAATGCTATAGGGTACATATTGGGATTATAATATCTTCTTATTGGATTATCCCATTTATAATTATGAACTCTGTCTTTTTATCAATAATAAAATGTTTGCCTTAAAGTTCACCTTGCCTGATATTAGTAGAGTTGCACAAACTTTTTACCTGGCATATTTATCTTCCTTTTTATTTACATTAAACATTGCTCTATAGTTAAAAGTATATAGTTGGGTTTGTTTTAATCTAGTCTGACAATCATAGTCTTTTACTTGAAATTTAGTTCACTATGTAATTACTTAATTGAGTTCTAGCTACCATCTTATTTTTCATTTTCTATTAGGCTCTTCTCTTTTATATTCCTTTTTCCCATGTTCCTTTTCCTCCTTTCTGCCTCTTTTAGACTATTAAAATTTTAATTATGTAATGTTTTTATTTAATAACTTGAAAATTATATATTAGTTTCTTATTCTGATAGTAGTTATCCTAGAGATTACAACACATATCCTTGATTTATTACAGAATTGTACAAACTATTATTTTTACCATTCCTCTTATATTCTTAGACCCAAAAACCTTTTATGCTGTCTAACTCTCCATGATTTTTGTGTTCTCTTGCTTTGCATTTTAGTCCTACATAGCTTTTAAACTACAACTTACATTACTATTATTGTTTTTTACAATCAGTTATGATTTATAAATGCCCATATGTTTATTCTTTCCAATGTCTTTTTTCCTGTATTTTCTTAGGAAATAAACTTGCAACACAGCCAATATGTAAGTTAAGTGCACCAGTTAAAATATATTTGAGATGAAATTTTAATTAAATAATCACCAAAAATAGGTTGTAAGTTTGAGTAAGACAACGTCATTATCGAGGTCAGGCAATAATACTGATTTTTCCATAAAGCACTGAATTTATTCAGTCAAGTTCAAACACTTCCCATATGGTATTTATAGTTTTCAAAGAGAATTAACATTCAACTTTCAGTTGATCCCAATAATAACTTGGTGGATAAGCCAGAAAGACAAAGAATTAGGGATAATGGGAGGAAAGAGATTTGTCGACATTTATACACCTTATATTGAATCAAGTCCCTCATGCCTACCTAGACCTCTGACTATATGAATCAACTAGAAATACCTAAAATAACTCATGTTTATAAAGATAAAGATGCCCATAAAAAAATGCATCCTCAAAACATACAGTTTAATTCCAACTCCTTAAATGACCACCCTCTTCCTGCTTCTTATCAGTCCTCATCACTAGATTTTTTAAATTTTATTTTGTATATATTTTCTTTTTTAGTTTTATACTAGAGGCCCAGCGCACGATTGAAATCAAGCAAGGAGGCACCCCGCGGGCCGCCACAAGAGTCAGGCTGGACCGCTGCTGCAGGCAGCTGGGACCCCTGCCTGACTTCCTTCCCAGGCTCCTCCTGCCCCTCTGCTTGTGTCCACTCTGGAGCTGTCCGAGCCAGCACAGCAACTTGGCCAACCCCAGGCCCCCACCCGACCCCCTGCCTGTGTTTGCTCCAGGTCGCTGGAGCTGCTATGCCAGCTTAGGCAGGCTCCCCTGTTTCTGTCTTCTCCGTCTTCGCTCCTGGCCTCACTTGCACGTGCAACCTCCTCCTGTTGGGTCATCCCATTACGGCATCCCAGCCTAATTTGCATATTACCTCTTTATATATTATGCCTAGGGGCCCAGTGCACAAATTCGTGCACCTTGAAAGGAACTGTGGGCCGTGAGGCTGCAGTGAGCCCAGGGACAGGTCTCGGCCCATACTCTGTGCCCCTGCTGGCCACTCATGGTGGCAAGGGGCAATCAGGGCTGACAGCTGCTGCTTATATTCGCTGACGGTACTGAGTGATCAGGACTAGCAGTGGGTGCGAGTGGTAGCTCTGGTGCTGGCAGCAGGTGTGAGCACTGGGCAGGACCATGGTGCATGGAAGAAAAGAATTTTCAGTAGGCTTGCCCCGCCAGAGGTTTGCCCTGATGACAGTGACCAGCACAGTGCCCTGCCTTGGTTTGGCACCCCTGTTCAGCTGCTCCAACATCCCACCATAGCTGACCCCACTATGTTCCATGCTCTGCCACCTGCTGCCAACGCCTGCCATGTTCCGCACATGCCCCCTGGTGATAAGTGCACGTCATATCAACTGATTGGTTGTTTCGCCATTTGGTCTATTTGTATATTAGGGTTTTATATATATAGATATTTCAGAGAGAGAGAGAGATAGAAACATCAATGATGAGAGAAAATAATTGATTGGCCATCTCTTGCACGCCCCAAACTGGAGTTCCAGCCCACAACCTGGACATATGCTCTGCCTGGGATTGAACTGTGCCTGAACCCTGACTTCCTGGTTCATAGGTTGATGCTCAACCACTTAGCCACACTGGCTGAGCTATCAGATTTTTAAAAGTCAAAGCATATATAAACATCTGCCTACAGCAAATACAGTGAGTTTTCAGTCATGAGGAAACCCATTAAAGTCAAGGCTGATAATACACTGTTTATTTTAGTCTTTCTGCTTAGTTTTCCTTTCCAGGCACTGGACTGAACTTAGTTTTCAAAGCCAAAAATGATGATTGTTTATATATCTAAATTTATTAATACTTTACTCATAGAAATTTTTAGGTACAATTGATTCCAAGATTATTTTGGGAATTTCTCACTGGTTAAATCTAAACTATATTCAGGGGAAAGCCAAGAAACATATTCTGTAAAGAGAGAATATGCTAATTGACTGCCCCACCCTCAAAGATGGCAGTGTCCATAGCCAATAGGAGGAAATATGCTAATTGACACACCATCGCAATGATGGCATTGCCCACAGCCAATAAGGAGGGAATATGCTAATTAACTGCTAACCCCTCAAAGATGGTGGTGCCCACAGCCACAAGATGGTGGCACCCAGTCCTCTCAGCCCCCCCCACCCCCCCGGAGTGGCAGGTGCACAGCAAGACAGGACCTGCCCCCAGGCGGGCTTGGCTGCTTCATGAGCCTGCCTCCAGAGCCTCCCAGGCCCCTCAGCCCCCCAGCCGCCCAGGGCTGGCCTGAGGCACAGGGGGCCGGCTGAGGCTTGCACTGCCAGCAGTGGCAGCAGCAGAGGTGTGATGGAGCATCGCCTTCCCCTGATCACCGGGTCGCCTCCTGCCCCTGAGGACTCCTGGACTGTGAGAGGGGGCAGGCCAGGCTGAGGAACCCCCCTGCCTCCAGTGCATGAATTTTCATGCACCAGGCCTCTTAGTTAATAATATAAACTTTTGATATACATAAAACTCTTCTCATCTAAAAGAAGGCAGAGTAGGTGCTCACTAAGGGTTGATTAAATAAATTAAAAGTTCTTCAGTGTCTACCTCTGTCTCCTCAGTTTACCCAGAGTACTGACACAAAGCAAAATAGGATAGAGTTTGGATAAAAATTTGGTTTCTGATTCTCCATCTTCTCCCCCTACTACAGATTTAATAGAAAGTAAACTGCTGCTCCAATGATGTTATAACAGGCAGGATCCTGCCCCTCTCCAGGTAATGGGGAGAGAGCATTTGGTTTGGGGTCATAGTTGACATGCTTTGGGACAATTGTGCCACCTCCTCACTTCTTGTCTCTGGAAATTCCTGCTGTTCACAGTCTCTGCAGTAAAGGACAAGCTAAAGTGGCCCTGACCTTACCCATGTCCACCTCACCCCATTGTAAACAGACCAGGATCAAACTCGGACAGCAATTAGACTCTCCCAAGAATTTGAGCCAAATTACAGAAATCACAATCAGTGGTTATGGACTACCGCTGAGAGCTCACATCCAGTGGGAGCTGAGGTTGGCGCCAGGGCACACAAGTCAAGTACAACCAGAGTTACTTGAGGACAAAATTATAAATAATCAGAGGAAGCCAAGTCTCTAGAGAAAAGAAATTAGACATGTTTTAAAAGGCAAGGAGAAGAGTAAAAAAAAAAAAATAAAGAATCAGAGTCCAGCTGACTTTCTACTTCCCAGCTCCCGTAGTTATGAAGTCCATCTGGACTTTGTTTCCTGCTCCTGGACATCTATAAGATTGCTGGCTTTATTTTCACTTAACTCCTCTTTTTAATTTGAGTTAATTCCAGCAAGATTCCTAGCAACCAACAATTGGTTTAATCTCTTTATTTTTTTAAAAAATTATTGATTTTAGAGAGAGAAGAAGGGAGCGAAAGAGAGAGGAACACATCTATTTGTTGTTCCACTTATTTATGCATTCATTGGTTGATTCTTACATGTGCCCTAACCGGGAATCAAACCTGAAACCTTGGCATATTGGGACATGGTCTAACCAACGGAGCTACCCAGCTAAGGCCACAATTTCTTGACGAATAGATCTCACCCTTTCCCTTAGGCACCCAGTGCTTTGGTGCAGCCCTCCCCTCTCCCGTGAGGAAGGAGAATGATCTGAAAATCTTTCACACCAGCAAATACTTGGTTCGCTGGCTTTTCCAGTAACATTTCAGAAAACACTGCTGTTAGAAGACAACATTAGATCCTAAGGAATAATGATTCACGATACTATTTTTAGCATTGGTTGGAATACATTTTAGGAGGAGTCTTCCCAGAGTATCTTCTGTGATCTCGTAGCTGACCACTTCTTTTGCCTAAAAGGGCTACTTACCATTACAGATAAACCTTTCCCTGTCCCCCACACGCCACCCAATACCAAATCAACTCTTCTATCAAATTGTAAGTGCCTTGAAAAAGAGGATGTATGTTTCTACCACCTTTGCATTCTCAGCATCTTAGTACAGTGTCTAACAATTACAACAAATATTCCCTCTCCTCCTCTCATGAATATTTTGAGAATGCCATGACCTGATAATCAGTTATCACCTTTTCAGGAACTCTCCTTTTCCCTTTACCATTCCTTCTGGACTTCCATCTATCCTTGGAGCTCTGCTAGAGTTCTAAACATTGCTCTTGAAGAGCATGAGGAAAAGAGGAAAGCAGTGTCAGCTTTACTTAGCCCAGGAAAATAAGACTTAGCGACTGCCTAGCCAACATTCATAAAGTCATCCTTGAAGGAGCCAGTATCGGCAGTTAACAGAGGTTTTCTGAGCCAACTGCACAACCTCTCATTCCATCTGGGTACTCCCAACATTGGCCAGCACATTCACAAGCTCACACCCATCTCATGCCAGTCATAAAAATGACTCTCCGATGAAGACACAGTGGACACACAGAACATTTGCATCAATGCAGGCATCAGTATACGTATACATCCAGTGGCCCCAAAGGGCTCCTCTGTGCAATGTTTAACTGTTTCCTTGAAAAAGAGACCATTCTCACAGATCTGATTTAAGGCCAATGAGGGAATATTAATATAAACTCTCAGATACAGGACTAATCATAAATACTGTTTTAGAATAATTATCTTCGTGCATAAAGGACTGCTTTTTTTCTTGAAAGACTACCATTAACATTTTATTTCCCTTATCTATGTGATTAAAGACAAGAGTAATATTCAGAACCCTCAGAAGTCATATATCGACATAAAAAAATTATGTTTCGAGAATGTTTGGTTTCTAACATATTATGTATTTTATTTTTTCTGGTACAATAGTAGCATTTATTTTCTAAACATTTCAGTTCTTACCAAATGAGTCATTGTTAATGTAGAAACCAGCTGAATCATCTGTCCTTCAGTCAATAGTTGTTTTTCTTGTATGTGTTCATCATTTTACTAAAAAAAGATATTAGGAATTTTTTTCGTTTGAAGTACTTTTCCCCTTTGGTTGTTAAGTTATCATTAATTCTGTGTTTGTTCAGATTCCTATTCATAATATTGAGGCAAAAACAAGTCATCTGCAGTCCTCCAGTATCTCAAATGTGAGGCCTTCCACATAGGAGATAAACAGAGAGTCTAGAACGGGTGGGATAGAAAGGAGAATTTTTTTTCTGATCCTCGAAAGGCCAGTAACACTGGAGATTCTAGTGATAAATCCAATAACAGTTATTTGATTGTAATTTGATCATCTCCTTTCAATAAATATGAAGAATGTAGTTGTCCTATCTTAAATATAACCACCTAGGATATATGCCACCTAGGGGACATATATTTTATTATATGTTCCAGATGGCTCCAAAGAAAAGCAAAATATAGGTAGATAGAAAGGAACAAAATATTACGTGTAACCAAACTGTGATTTTAGCAGGGAGAACGCTGGCCTGGGAGTCGAGAGAACTGAATGCTAGTCACTGTGGAATCACCAGTGAGTTGAATACCTCTTGTCATGTATTTGGCTTTCTTGTACCTCAGTTTCCCATGACTGAAATCTCATTCTAAGACTCATTGACCCCTTTTGTTTTAAATTTATTTTTTGACCCACATTTGTGACACAAAATCTTCCTAATTATTATGCATTTAACAATTAACTGTTCAGTAGCCATCAGATATTAAATGCAATAATTATTAGCTACTTTAATGCTTCCCATTCTAATCATATCAGTGGGGAAAAACTGTGGATTAAAAAGGTTTGGGTTTATTATGCATTCAGTACTCAGAGAAATAATTTGTCATAGACGATAGCTTCTATCTAAAACCACTATGCTATTGACTCCCAGGTAATTCTCAAAAAGAATTAATTGTTCTGACGAAAGTATCTTCCTAATATATTCGTATTATATACTCATAGACTGTGTATCATTAAAACGCATGGTCTACCAAAATCACATTTTAACATCATTAGCTTTTAAATATTAGAAACAATCTCAATGTTTGGAAAAGTCTAGTGAGCATGATTACATTGGAGATTTTCAGACGCAATGTATCGATATCAGGGAATATAAGTGGGTTGAAGCGTCTGTGACGTTTTACCATTTTTTGTATGCAGTTTTCATTGTCTTATAATAATAATGAATGGTGCAAAGATAATAGGTTGTTATACCTTTTCTCCCCACTGCCTCCCCAGGACTGTACGGCACAGTTTCCCAGTCAGCTTGCTGCCAGATGGTCTCTGTGATGTCAGGAGAGGATTTAGGTTTCCTCTCAGGGCCAGGGCATGGTAGTGGTGGGTTGGACCATGAAATTGCCATAATCGGTCAGAAAGGATTGCCTACTGGCCGTTGCATGGGGCTCGAGCTGAAGAGTGGGTGAGTGTGAATTCCAGCCCTGAGAGTCACTGGCAGGCCTTGGCCTGTGAAATGGGAACAACACCCACTTTGTAGTGTTGATGTAGGCTTAGCCATGACGTCTTATAAGCACCGTGTCTGGCCATCGTAAATGTTCCACAAAGAATTATTATAGTAATACAGCCTTTTATCCGTGTAATTTAGGGAGTCTCTTTATTTTCTCTTTAGCCATTTCTGCATATTTGGCCAAGATGACGGTGGCTGCAATGGAGACATATGGGAAATGTTCGGCCAGCATCCTTTTGAAAGCCCAGTAGCTTTAAAGGCCTTCTATTCCTGTCCTTGTATGCTCTGGCATGTCCTAGTAAGGTCACAGATAAAATTTGACACATACTGGGTTAGAATGTCTAAGTAGGAAATGTACTGAAGCAAATCAAGAACAGAGTTTAAAAAAATAATAATAAAAAATAAAAACCAAAGCGCCCAGCAAACATTCTGAACTTTTTTGGCAGGCGGATTGGACAGCCTGAATCCCCAGACTTGGAGTTATTAATAGGGGCTCATTTTGCCATATTTTGGGGCAGTTACATATTTATCTGCCCTACAGAGAGAGAGAGAGAGAGAGTGTGTGTGTGTGTGTGTGTGTGTGTGTGAGAGAGAGAGAGAGAGAGAGACAGACAGACAGAGAGAGAGAGAGAGACAGAGAGACAGAGAGAGAGAGAGAGAGAGAGGCTTGCAAGGCTCGATGGCTTTCTGAAACGTGCTTCCCCTGGAACAGAGCAGGGCAGCCAGGGTGCCATTTGGCCATTTGGGTGGCACCGGGCCCCCCTGCACCCCCAAAGGCTCAGGCGATGCTCCCATCTGCTCTGGTGGAGTCATGAGCTGCCCCGCAGTAGTAATTCGCAGCTATTTATGACCGTTTTCATAGCGAAGATCTCGATTAGAAGGCCGTGTTTACATGCCGCGCGGCAGAGCGGCTCCATGAATCATTCCCACGGTAACCTTTGGTCACACCGACCAGCCAATTAATGAGAAACCAGCCCGCGGGCCGCGGCTGTGATTTACAGGCTCCCAGTTAGCCTTTCCTTTTCCTGAGCTGCTCTGCGGGGGGGAGACCCGGCTGGCCGCCCCTGCACAGCCTCCCTCCCGGTCCTCCCTGCAGCCCCCGCCTGCGCCGGGGACCCGGTAAGTCCAGGGAGCGCTGGAAACACCTGCGGACGTCATGAAGCAAGCAGGGCTATTTTGGGGCGCCTGTTTATTTTCTTAGGGTCACCGCTCCGCCTGTGGACTTCAGCGAGGGGATCCTGGAGAGCTTGTTTGCGTCAAGACCAAGCAAAGCCCTTCCCTCTGTCCCTTGAAACTGACATGAGGTTTTAATCCGTTGTTGTCGCATCCCGACTCTCTCTTCTGGTCTCAGGGTGAGGAGGGTCGGCTGAGACTCTCCCGTGAAATTAATGCAAAGCAACATGAAAGCAGAAAAAGGTTATGCGGCTCCTCTTGGCCGTGCACTGGCTCTGTGACTTAGGGGGGCAAGGCAGCTAACCTTTGGATGGGAGAGGTTTTCTGTGTGTGTGTGTGTGTGTGTGTGTGTGTGTGTGTGTGTGAGTGAGTGAGACCGGCCAGGGGCCTCCTGTGGACCGTGACTCCTCTCTCCCCTGTTGTATGGGGACCTGGAGGTCGAGCTGAGCCAAAGTGGACTCAGACCTGCTAAGGAAGTCCCGACCCCTGAGGGACTATCTCCAAGTCTAACCGGGTCCTTTTCTTTGCTGTGCCAGGCAGTGGGCTGGACAGAGGAGAGAGGCTGCCCTGCAAGATGCAGAGTTCGGGAAAGCTCTGTGGAGGAAGTCTTGTCTAGGTTTTGAACGACCAGCAGCATTCAGAGGAGGGAAGGCATTCCAAGTCAGAGAGGAGAATGAGCAAAGGGGGAAGGGTCTGGGATGAGTCTCGAACAGGGAAACTTCCCAGGGGCTGGACCGCAGACTGGGAAGGAGAGATGGCAGCTGGGCTGCGGAGGTAGGTTGGGGTAAGGCCTTAGGTTTTATCCTGCCTTCAGTGCTGACATTGGAGGGTGGAGGCAGTATTTTAGGGAGGATAGTGTGTGGTGCTGTGCATGTGGAATTGGTGGGGATAGACTTGGTAAGAAGGGCCTGTAGCTTGAAGTAATGGAGAGCTGTGAATAAGAAAAAGGAAAGTAAGACTCATGTGGGGTGGTTTTATGACTACACACGTTGATTATATGCAAAGGGGGTGGAAACCATTGCTCAAAACGGAATTTTAAAATTTATTTTGTCAGTGCTTTACCCCGAACTGTCATTCAGTAAATCCTGACTGGATTTTTGCGGGGAAAATATGTTCCCCCTTTAGAAAAGGTTTTGGTGAGAAACAGCTTGAAAACTGCTTCTTAAAAAAACAAGTCACAGGGGAACGTGAGTGATTGAGAGAGTGACAAAGTGCTGGTGTCTCTCCAAAGAGCACACCAGGAGCTGATGCTTAATGGGGAAGGTTCTTGTCTTGTAGCGATTTTATTCCCTCATCAATATTGGAAAATACTTTCTGTGTCTTCCAGAAAGTGTAGAAAAATATACTACTAATGATGCAGTTAGCAAGTTTTACCATTTTTAATTGAAGAATGTATGTGAGAGTTAGAAAATGAAATCTGGAAGAGAACTTAAATCCTCTTACGAAAGAGGACAGGAGCGGGGACAAGCCGCCCAGCGGGGTGTGCGGGCCCATTGCTAGGAGGTAACTGCTTTGACCCCTGCTCTCGTGCGCTTCTGCTCTGCCACAAGAACCCCCCAGGCCAGGTTATTGCTGACATGGAAGAGCTGGTCTTTTCCATGTCCTCTTTCTAAAATCAAGAACTGTTTTATCAGATACAATTCTCACATTTCTCCTTACCATTCTCACATTTCTCTTTCCTGTTTATGGAATTAAATAATTCACGGCGAGGAAATCCTTGTGTTAAAGATACCTTAATCCTGGGGGGGGTGGGGAGGGGGGCGGTGGTGCATCCAGGGAAGGAAAGTGGGTGCATATAGGAAAGTACTCTGGCTGGCCCACTCAACTGGGGTTCAGGTAAGGCGAATTCGCCGAAACCGGTTTGGCTCAGTGGATAGAGCATCGGCCTGTGGACTGAAAGATCCCAGGTTCAATTCCAGTCAAGGGCATGTACCTTGGTTGCGGGCACATCCCCAGTAGGGGGTGTGCAAGAGGCACCTGATCGATGATTCTCTTTCATTGACGTTTCTAACTCTCTATCTCTCTTTCTCTTCTTCTCTGTGAAAAATCAATAAAATATATATATTTTTTAAAAAGGTAAGGCGAATTCACAAAGCACCAGGAAACCTCTGGCTCTGGAATTCTGTGTGCCCACCCCGCTGAGGAGAGGCATGGGGGCCCCTGCCAGGGAGTCACTGGGCCACTCCCTGCGCCCTTCCCTCTGTGCCAGTCTCTCTTCCATGCTTGGAGGGGGTTCTAGGATGATCCCAGTACCAAGTGCAACATGGGGGCAGGGTTCTCCACACCCCCAGCCAGTTCAATACCTGCTGAGTTTCCTACAGCTCAACTCTTGAGATGGCACCAGACTCCACTGGTTAAGGGCTCCGTCCTATAAGACTGCCCCTCGCCTCCGTTTCAGTTGTCAATCACAAGCCCAGTTGTCACCTGGGCTTCTGACTCACCAACTACGGATTGGGGGTTGCAACTATCCCCCTCCTTGAGTTTGCTTAACTGGCTAATGCAGCTCACAAAGATCAGGGAAACACGACTTGTTAGATTATTGGTTTATTGTCAAAGGATACCACTCAGGAACAGCCAGATGGTAAAGATCCCTAGGGCAAGGTGTGGGGAAAGGGCGCAGAGCTCCCATGCTCTCCCCAGGAGTGCCACCCTTCCCAGATCTCCTGGTGTTCACCCACCTGGAAGCTCTTCAACCCCGCCCCACCCCACACTGTTAGGGTTTTATGGAAGCTTTCTCACATAAGCGTGATCCCTTATTCCATTATTAGCTCCATTCCCAGCCCCTCTCCCCTCCCTGGAGGATGGAGGGCGGGGCTAAAGATTCCAAAGTTTCTCACCATGACTTGGTCTTTCGGGTACCCAGCCCCCGTCCAGGAGCCTACCCAGAGTCGCTCATTAAAACACATGCTTCTCTGCTAGAACCGGTTTGGCTCAGTGGATAGAGCGTCGGCTTGCGGACTCAGGGGTCCCAGATTTGATTCTGGTCAGGGACATGTGCCTTGGTTGCGGGCACATCCCCCATTGGGGGCTGTGCAGGAGGCAGCTGATTGATGTTTCTAACTCTCTATCCCTCTCTCTTTTTCTCTGTAAAAAATCAGTAAAATATGTTTTAAAAATGAATAAATAAAGTGTACATTCAGCAAGAACATGTGCAGCTGAGGTTTTTGAAAGGCTGTAATTGTGAGCACAACCCAGTGAAGCACTCCAGTACAGCGGGTCCTCTTTTACCATCGAGCTTATGGTGAAGTTGCTCTCATTGTGGGTATTTGTGCTGCAGTTCCAAGAATCTGTCAGTGAGGTTCCAGGAGGGCCGGCTGCACTAGTCAGTATGTTTTCATTAGGATGTTGTTCCATTAAACTCGGGCCAATGAATGTGCTTTATGATACTTGCATTTCAAAATTGGGATAAAAAGATATAGTGCTAGCCCTAACTGGTTTGGCTCAGTGGATAGAGCGTCAGCTTGTGGACTGAAGGGTCCCAGGTTCGATTCCAGTCAAGGGCATGTACCTTGGTTGTGGGCACATCCCCAGTAGAGTGTGTGCAGGAGGCAGCTGATGGATGTTTCTCTCTCGTCAATGTTTCTAACTCTCTATCCCTCTCCCTTCCTCTCTGTAAAAAGTCAATAAAATGTGTTGTTGTTTTTTTAAAAAAAATAAAGTGATAGGTGGTTTCTTAAGCTTAGATCTTTCCTTCACTATTATAAAGGCCAACTTTTTCTGAAGCAAAGTTCCTTCCGGTTATCAGAGATGGTCGCATGTTTCAAAAGAAGACTATTTGAAACCTTCCGCTGAGTTTTTCTAAGTGGAACTCCTGGGAGGTTTTCCCCTTGTTGATTGTGGAGTGGAGGGAATGTACTCTGGGCTGCTATTATCTATACTCATCGCCTCTCCCCTAAACTCCCCACTTATGCATCTGGTTCCTTACAGGAGATTTGAAACTATTTCCAGCTCAAGTGAATTTGAGTCCATTTTTGTCCCTTGCTGTCAATGAGTCCACATTAATACAGAGAGCAAGTGTTCCATGTTGTGACTGTTTCTTAGGACGGATTCTTCCATGCAGCCGGGCTGCCTGGGCATATCTTCGTACAGATCCCTAGAAGTTCTGGTTTTCTTGCTTAATCTCCTCAAAGCAGCTTTCCTTACACTCTAATTTTTTGTTCTGAGTCAGTGGGTGAGGCGGACGGCCTCGGTCTGGATATTCTTCATTATTGTTTCTTGTTCATGAAAGAGTCTCAAAATTCTGATTGGTGAATGCCTGTGCCAGGTGTCAGGTCCAAGGAGTCTCCCTGCTGCCTCCATGGAAGTTCTTCTCACATGTTTCTTGGCCCTTTGCGCTTCCTCCTCTGATTCCATCACTTGTCTTTCACAATAGAGGGGAGTCATCTTTAGAATCAGCCCTGTTATGTTATGTCCGTTTTCTTCTTGTCTCTAAACTTTATGCTTCTGATTGTTTAATTTTAGAAGTGTATAACATCTCAGGCCTCACACTGACTTTGTCTTCCTCTGGCAGATTTCTGACTGTAGATAGAATTTGTTCAAATTTGATTCCATCACGGTTCAGGTGTTAAAATGAAAACTACAATAAACTTTCAGCGTGCCTTTAATCTTGATTTAAATCAGTCTAGATTGAATAAAAATGACCTATTTGATGGTACTTTAGTTTTGCACTTCCTGAAGAATAGAATTAGAGGCAAAGACACTGTAAAAAATTTCAGGAAGTTTAGAGCACTATACTTGATATTTCAGTCTCTGTTTGCTTTTTTTTTTTTTTTTTATCATCACCTGTGTCACTTTTAACACATCATTTTTCTTTTCTCCCTCTAAATGGGAATAGAGAGGGAGGGTTAAGCTATGTCAGTGATTCTCAACCCTGGCTGCACATTAGAACTATCTGAAAAACTTAAAAAATATATATATACTGGTGCCCACCCCAGGCCAGTTAAATCAGTGCTCCAGAAATGAGATCTATGTATCAGTATTTTTGTTAAGAGCCCTGGGTGATACTGGCAGTCACAAACATGACCTCTAATAACCCTTGTAGTAAACATCGGTTTGACCCTAAGGCCTACTGAGACTTGGGCAGTGTATTAAACTTTTCAGTAATTTTTAAACTGAAGGTTCCTCTTTATTTTTCCACATAATCAATGGTGTTTAGAACTGGCCAATAATAGGTGGCTTGTAAGATGCTTGCTGGTGGCTGAGGTGTTTCATGAGTCCTCTTGCTTTTCCCACTCCTCCTCTGGTCTCCTTTCATCTCTAAATGAAACATTGGTATGGACTTTTTGGAAATAAAAAGTAAATGAACATACACTCTTGCTCACAGCAGTATTATTCACAATAGCTAAAACATGGAAGCCACCTGAGTGTCCATGAACAGAAGAATGGATGAGCAAAATGTGAGGCAATGTGACTCTTAATGTTGTGAATGGATATAAAGGAATATTATTCAGCCTTAAAAAGGAAGGAAATTCTGCTGAAATGAGTTTGGCTCAGTGGATAGAGCAATGGCTTGCAGACTGAAGTGTCCTGGGTTCAATTCCGGTCAAGGGCATGTACCTTGGTTGTGGGCACATCCCCAGTGGAGGGTGTGCAGGAGGCAGCTGATCGATGTGTCTCTCTCATTGATATTTCTAACTATCCCTCTCCCTTCCTCTCTGTAAAAAAATCAATAAAATATATATTTTTTTAAAAAAGGAAGGAAATTCTGACATATACTACAACATGAACTAACCTTGAGGATATTATATGTGAAGTAAGTCAGTCACAACACAAAAACAACACTGTATTAATCCCATAGATGAGATACTTAGAAGAGTCAAAATCATAGAGACCAAAAGTAGAATTGCGGTTGCCAGGGATTCGTGGCAGGTGGCCCGGGATAAGGAGTTATTGTTTGATGGGTAAAGAGTTTCAGTTTTATAAGAAAAGAGTTCTGTGGGTGGGTGGTTGCACAATAATATGTGTTGAATGCCTCTCAACTGAACACTAAAAATAGTTAAGATGGAAAGACCACAGATACATATCTCTCCATGTCAAAAAATAAATAGGGTGGAGATGAAAAAATTTATATTTTGTGTATTTTACCACAGTAAAAAGAAATTTTCTTTTTAAGTAGATAAACCAAGGGGGATAAATAAATGCTCAATGTATCATATAAATCACTAACCCAGGGGACAGCCAAATTCACTTCTTCTTGTCCCCACTTGGAGATTAAAATAAAAAAAACATTGGGTTCAGCGTGTATAACGTGAGTTTTGCAGACATGGTTGCCAATGAAGAGGAAAATACGGAGCTTAAAATAAAACCCACTTCAATAAAAATAAAAAAAATTTAATGTAATCCATAGCCTTTCAAACAACCAGTTCCTTCTCACTTACGCGCATATTTCACCCAGGAAGTGTTCAGTCATAGCTTGTGGTTGGCAAAGAGTGTGTGTCCAGCACAGGGTCCAGCCCAGATTCACTAACAAAATATGACCTCTCTGCTGCACCAGGACTGTCTTCCTGGGAGGAGGACACCTCTAAGGCACACAGAGATACTCCGTGACATGCTGCTTCATTTCCTGACAGAGACCACGAGGGCGGAAGAAGCGGTCCTGCCTTGAACCTCACACAGGAAGTGTCCTGGGAGCCCTTTGGGAGCACAATCAATGAAAGGGTCTGAGGTTCCCAGAGAAGCTGCTTTGATCACAAAAACATGAGCTTCCTTTTTAGAACAAACTACTGTTTTCTTTTGGGTAATTATTGACCAGGCTCTTCTCTGTTGAGTCCGTAGCCAGCCAGCACTGACCAGAAGTGGGTCAAGGTGAAGCTTGCTTCCCCCAGGCCACAGATGCTGGGGAACGTGAGGTGGGAGCACAGAGGCCCCAGCTCTCCCGTTCAAAAGCCATGTGCGGCAGGGGGAAAAGGGCTGCAGTTCTTTGACGCTTGGCTTACATAGCTTCACATTTCAAAGAGAAGTACTTTCCTCCTCCCACTGAATTCAGTTGCTTTAGAAGCACTCTGATTTCTTTTAAATTAATTTTTGTTAGACCTGGAGAGTATATTTAACATTCAGTTTACATTAATAATACAGGCCTGGGGACACTATGAACCTCATAGTTTGAGTCTCCAGAACACAGAGATGAAAAACCTTGTCCTAGATAAGCTCACGCTCCAGGGGCCACCGGCATCTACAGGAAAGGGGAAGACAATTTTTAAAATGCTTCCCAATGCATCTGCTCTCATTTTATGAGAGGAGGGAGATCTTCATGGTTTTCACTGACCCTCAGAGGAAATAAATACCTATTAGATTTCTGTGTATATGTTTACTAGTAGCCCTGCGCACGAATCCATGGGCCAGGAGGCCGCCGCCACCCTCCTGTAACTCCCCCTGCCCCCCCCCCCCTCCCCTAGCTTGCTGCCCTGCCCCCTCTTATAGATCTCCGCCTCCCGCTTGTAGTTTGATGCCCCACCCTCCTGCAGATCTGAGATCCTGTCTCAATGTGGTTAGTTGTTACACCTCAGGGTGTAGCATAATGGACAATTAGCATATTCCTCTCTTATTTTATAGGGTTGTATATTTTTTAAATTGTGGTCAAATATGCATGACATAAAACTTACCATCTTAACCATTTTTTTAAGTGTATAGTTTGGTGGCATTAAGTACTCTCACATTATTGTGGTACTGCCATCCACCCACAGAACTCTTCATCTTATGAAACTGAGACTGTGGCCTCTAAACAATAACTCCCCATTCCCCCCTCCCTAGCCTCTGGCAACCACCTTTCTCCTTTCTGCCTCTGTGAATTTGACTGCTCTGAGGACCTCGATAAGTGAAATCATTCACCATTCTTTTGTGACTGACTTTTTTCACTCGGCATGATGTCCTCAAGGTAGAGTTTCATTTATTTGTTTTTCAAAAGAGCTAATACTTTCAAGTGTCTCATGAACAATCAACTGCGTTGTTCTATCTGAGATGTCCTGGTTTCTTTACCCGTCTTATTAGCAAGTCACAGCTCTCGGTGGTAAAGGAGTTGATAAGATGTCATTTTGCACATACTCGAGGGAAATTAGCGGATTTTTTCATGAATCGTCTAGACCACACGTGTCAAACACAAAGCCCTCGGGCCAAATCTGTCCCGCCAGGCCTTGCAATGTGGCCCGCACCGCGCTGTCATCACTGCACTCTGCTGCGTTTCCATCACAATGACAGTTTATGACTGTTCAGTAAACCATTCGGCCTGCGATTTAGGCTGGATTTTAGATTTTGGCCCCTTCTCTGATTGAGTTCGACACCCCTAGTCTAGACACATCCAAAGCTCTGTGAGCTCTCAAAAACACCAGCACCGCTCCTCTGGCTTCGGAGGCCATGAAGCAGTTTCACAGGAGGGAGAGAAGGCAGCGGCCTGACTCAGAGCTGCCTCACCAGCCCCCGGCCCACACAGCTCCTCACGGCTCTGCACTTGATTACGGGTGTGTACAACCATCTGGTCTGTGGGCTTAGCAGTAAGAATGGGAGGCTCAGGCTCTCCATGTCACATGTTGCTATATTTTATTTAACACTTGTTATGTGGTGGCCAACACCGCCCCAAGCACAGCATAAACCTGGAATTCTTCAATGCAGTCTCTGTCTCTGGTACAAGAGACACTTGGGCCAAATGTGCTTCAGGGGACTGGAGCCCATTTCCTAATGCCTTTCAAATACAGAGTCTTGATTGTTGAAACTCTAACAATAGTAATATTAAAAAAAAATTTTTTTTAATAAGTGCTATTTTAGTAAAGAGTCTCCAGGCAAATTTCACTATACTTCATTAGATTTCTGTCCTGGAGGAAAATATATCCCTCCATATTCCATTGGTGTTAGTGCAGGAAATGAAGGTACCATTTCTACTCAATATATCATTTGCTGTTTCTATTGAGCAAATCAGTGGTTTCAGCTAAAGAGTTGTGATTTTCATCTCAATCTATGTATTGGACTTTAGTAAACAGAACATTGCTTTTTCTTCATAGGAAAGCCACGTTCAAGGTACATTATCTTATCTAATAAAAGTGTAATATGCAAATTAACCATCACTTCGTCACAAAAATGGCAGCGCCTATAGCAGCCGGGTTGCTGGACGCTGCTCAGGCAATGAGCCCCAGTGTCCCACACCCTCCAGTCTGCAGAGGGAGGGAGGGCAGGCCTCTGGCCAAAGGCTGGCCAGGGTGCAGGATGCTAGCATTGTTGCAGGATGGACTCTGGGACAAGCCCCTTCCCCATGAATGAATTTCGTGCTCCGGGCCTCTAGTCTAAAATAATAAAAGTGTAATATACAAATTGACCCAACGACCCAACAGCAGAACGATGACCACACTATGACACTCACTGGCACCACACCAACCAAGGTGGATGTGATGCCATTGGTCCTGGGGGCCATGCCATCACCCCATGATCACCCAGCAGAGGGATGCCCAGGGTACCCTCTGTGGGGTGATCGATCAGGGGGCTCTGCAGAACAGGAGAACTGGCAGGATGTGTGGCGGTGGACTCGGGCAGCATCAGGCCAAGGTGAGTGTGGGTAGGGGGTGAGGCTGCAAAGCCAGCAGCCAGGAGAAGGAAGGCCTAACGTTGCATGAATTTCATGGCTGGGGCCTCTAGTTTTACCATAATGCCTTCCAATGTTGTAATCCTTTAACAAAAGTTTGTAAAGTCACATTATTTGCAAACATTCATAACAGACCTATTACTTGCCTTTCTCTTATGCTCTTTCAGAGTCCCCCGTTCTCCCCTGGGCTCCAGGGAGTATTGAGATTTTCAAGGGCTTCTCCCTTCAGTGAGAGACGGAAGTTCCATTTCTACAGTAAAGGGTCTCAGTGTGCAGCAAACTTCGTGGTTACATAACAGATAGTCTTTGATCTGCCCCTGGCACATCCTAACTGCCCTTCTGGGTGCAAAACCAAATAAAAATTTCTTTTTCTTTCTCTTTTTACTTTTAAGTTATTTTACAATTATGGTTGACATCCAAAATTATATTAGTTCAGGTATACAACATAGCGATTACACATTTCTATACTTTATGCAGTGATTGTCATGATAAGTCTAGAACCCATCTGTCATCATACACAGTTATTATGATATTACTGACTAGATCCTCTTTACTGTACTTTATGCCCCATGACTTATTTTATAACTGGTAGTTTGTACTTCTTAATTCCTTTCACCTTTTTTGCCCATTCCTCCACCTCCCACCCCGCTGGCTGGCAACCATCAGTTCTTTGTATGAGTTTACTTCTGTTTTATTTTGTTCGTTTTGTTTTTTAGTAAATACCACATAACGTCACATGTCAGTGAAGTTATATGGTATTTGTCTTTTCCTGTTTTACTTCCCTTAGCATAAAACCCTCTAGATCTATCTATGTTGTCACAAATGGCAAGATTTCTTTCCTTTTTATGGGTAATATTCCATTGTGTGTGTGTGTGTGTGTGTGTGTGTGTGTGTGTACACTACATATTCTTTATCCGTTCATTTATCAATGGATTGTGTGTGTGTGTGTGTGTGTGTACTATATATTCTGTATCCATTCATTTATCAATGGACACTTAGGTCGCTTCCATATATTGACTAATATAAGTAATGCTGCAGTGAACATAGGGGCACATATATCTTTTCAAGTTCTTTGGATAAATACTCAGAAGTATGTGTATGAGTATTGTATATGTGCATATCTCTTAATTATTTATTGTAGTTACACATGATCTTATTAATTTTGCTTTTTAACCTTCATATTAGCTTTATAATTGGTTGATCCACTACTTTTACTAAATGTTTGCCTTTATCAGTGAGATTTTTTCCCTTATATTTCTTTATTTTTAATTTTAGCCTTTTCTTTTCCGCTTAAAGAAGACCCTTTAACATTTCTTGTAGTGTTGTTTAGTGGTAAGAAATTCCTTTAGCTTTTGCTTGTCTAAGGAATTCTTTATCTGTTTTCCAATCTAGTGATAAGTGCTGAATAGAGTAATCTTGGTAATAGGTTTCCCTTTCATCACTGTGAATGTATTGTGCTGTTTCTTCTGGCCTGCAAATTCCTGCTGCAAAATCAGCTGGTAGTCTTAGCAGGCGTCTTCAAACTACGGCCCGTGGGCCACATGCGTCCCGCAGAGGAGTCTGATCCGGCCCGCCAGGTTTTTTGGGCAGTGAGCGCAGCCGAGGTGTTACAGTAGGAATTAGTAGTTCATATAGTCCGGCCCTCCAGCTCTCTGAGGGACCGTGATCTGGCCCCCACTTTAAAAAGTTTGAGGACCCCTGCAGCTGGTAGTCTTACGGGATCCCTTGTACTACTACATGCTTTTCTCTTGCTGCTTTAATTTTTAAAATCATTTTTTATTTTTCATTTACAGTGGATGTACAATGTTATATTAGTTTCAGGTGTACATCATAGTGATCAGACGTTTTAAAACTTACTAAGTGACCACCTTTAAAAATCTCATACCTGTTTGTCAGCATACATAGTTATTAGAATACTGTGTGTGCCCTTCTGTTGGAGTTGGGCTCCAGTTGCTGCAGGCTTGCTTGTGGGTGGGGCTGACTCAGGTGACTGGCTGCAAGGGCCAGCCAAGACTAATGGATGATCTGGTGTGCCAAGGCTGACCCCACAGAGTGGAAATTGCTTTGGAGGGGCTCCAGTGCTGGCCCCAGCTGCCTGTTGGGTGTGTCTGTTGTGCAGCCACTGGGTGGGGCTTGGTGCTGGCCTAGGCTGGCCACTGCTTGTGCTGGACTTGTGACCACTTGGTAGTTGCTATGATTTGACCTGAGGCCAGTGCTGCTTGTGTGGAAGGTCAGGAGCACACTTGGGAAAGGCTTTGGCCAGGGCTAGCAGGTTAGGTGGGGCAGGATCTCTGGAATGCTGGGATGGGGTGAACAGTGGTAGCCAGGTTAATGGAGAGTGACAGGTTTGGCACCTGCCTGCTCCAGGTCAGCCAGGTGGAAGGAGACCACAGCAAAAGAAACAAAGGAACAATGGCACCTGCCAGCTTTTCCACCTCAGGGAGAGTTTCCACCAATCCCTGTCCCTCCAGCCCTCCCCCTAATGTTAGTCAATCTAATTCCTCCCCACAGGTCCCAGGCACTCCTGGAACTGCTGCTTCCACGCTGGAGCTTGGAGCGGGTGAGTGTGTGCACCAATCCTTTAAGAGCAGTGCCTCGGTCTCCCCCGCCCTTTGTCTCTCTCTGATATGATCCCTGTTTGGTTTTCAAAGCTAGATGTTATGGAGACTCCTCTTCCCAGCACAGATGCCCTAGGCTGGGGATCCTGGTGTAAGGGTGGGACCCACTCATTCCTTAGGGGAACCTCCACAGTTACGTTATCCTTTCCATCTATGAATTGCTACATCTGACCAGGCTATGTCTCTGCCCCTCCCACCCTCAGTGTGGCTTCTTCTTTTATATCTTTAGTTATAGGAGTTCTGTTCAGCTAGTTTTCAGGTGGTCAGGGGTGGTTGTTTTATATTTAGTTGTACTTTTGATGGGTTTGTGGAAGGAGGTGAGTTCAAGGTCTACTTGCTCTGCCATCTTGACTTTGCATCTCAAGACTTTCCCTTTCTGTTAACTAATATTTCCCCACTCTTGGTAAGTTTGTCTTTATAGTCTATTACCAAAAACTGGCTAATAGAACTAGCTTTCCTTACTATCACACACAGTCTCCTTCCAATTAAACAGGATGTCTTGTTCATCCCACAAGTGAATGCTGAGTACTGAGTTAGGTCTCTAGAATATACTAAAGTGGGTCAGATGGAGTCCTCGTCCTAAAGGAGTAGGGAAAGGGTTTATATTTCCTTACTATAACACAAGTCAGGGTATAATATGTATTATAAGAGTAGGCTATGGGGATTCAAAAGATGAGCAGATCTCTGAATTCAAGATTCACAGATGAGGAGTGAAAATAACCAACTTTTCTTGAACATTTACTATGAGTCAGGAACTGTGTGAGACAGCTTACATATATTATCTAGTTTGATTCTCACAACCATTAAACATTTTTACCCCCAATTTAGAAATAAAGACACCGAGGCTTGTCCAGGTGTGAGTGCTCAGTTTTTCTGCCTTTTACTGTACTATTCCATGCCGGTAGCACTTCCTGCTTCATGGTCTGTCATTGACTCCAATACCAGCCTTTACCAAAAGAAAAAAAAAGAAAAATAAATAAATAAATAAATAAATAAATAAATGGAGAAAGATTGAAAGGTTTCAGGCAATCAACTCTAAACTGCCTTCTAGTTTGCATCAGAAATTTTTGGGACATGTCTGCAGAGAAATATATGTGCAAAAAAGCAGGTAGCCAAAATGTGACTTTTTATAAAGAATGTGGTTTTGCGAGTCGCATATTTTGTTTAGAGAAGCACATTGATGAAACCCTTTGTGTGTATACAACTATTTCTTCTTCCTGTTATTCCTGTTTAGAAGGGGGAAAAACTAAGTTTGGGACTCTGGATAATTTACTAAAGATTTCCTGGGAATAGGAAGAGATAAAAAGCCATAATAAACGAAGAAGCACACTTATGCAGAGAAAGCAGTGATCAAATTTCTGATTCAGCACCACTGTATTGAGGCTTATCTTTTACTATTTTTTTTTCATCGCAAATCTGGCAGCTAGATGCCAACCCCCCCTCATACACCCCCACTCCCCCACACACATTGACAACTGAGGAAACCGAGGCCCTAATAGATAGTAAGTGATGGAACTTGGATTCAAACTCAGTGTTGTTTATGCCTGAAAAGCAGGCATGTTTGAGATCTAGTTCAGAGGCTTTTCAGCTTAATACAATCTGGCCCTTCAAAGCTGATAATACAGCTTTCTCTACTCTCTGATTTTTTGCCTTAGCAAGAGACAGAGAACATTGTCCCTGAGAACAGATCTGTGCTTGGGGTCATAGATCATATGCACATTCAGGCCTTGGGACTCTACCTGTGCATGAATTTTGTGCACTGGGCCTCTAGTGTTTGTACAAATGAATAAATGGATAGTACTTTCAGGACTTTGCTGTGCTCTCTTTGGAAGCACATATACTAAAATAGGACTTTGCCAAAACTAAGGGTGACAGTGCTTTCTGGATTAGGCCTAATTTGGAATCTCTATAGTAATGCTGGAGGAAATTTCAAGCACAAGAATCAGAGTGCAGTTAAAACCT